CAGCCTGCTTCGCACTTCCGTGGGCCCGGACGGTGCCAAGGGGCTGGCGGAGGTGCTGAAGCATAACACAACCCTCAGCGAACTCAAGTGAGCCGAACCCAGAATGGGTTGCATGAACGCCCTCTGTTGTAACGTGCACGCGCGCTTGTGCAGACCAATGCTTTTTTGTTCGCCACCCGCAGCTGACCATCGTGTGCTGTCCTCCCTTCTCCATCTGTTTGCACGCGCTGACAGTCTGATTGACAACGCCATTGGGGATGAAGGCGCGGTGGCTTTTGCGAACATGTTGCAGCTCAACTCAACCCTCACTACGCTCGAGTGAGTGAGAGCGAAACCGTGCTCTCGGTTGCGTGTCCGTGTGCCATTGCGGTTCGATCGATCTTGTGCTTTGTGTGGTATGTGCGTGCTTTTGTTGGCAACGCACCCCATGCGTCACCCCGACTTGAGTTTAACATCTTGTACAACTGCATCGCCCCCTGTCCCGTGTCGTTATGCCTGGGCCTACCTGTGCGCGGTTCTGCGTTCACATGAGGTGAATCAACAACAAACAACTTTCGTCCATCACGTTTGAGTCGGTTGGCTTGTCTGTCCGACCTCCCTGTTCCTTTCTTAACCCTCGTGCCCATACCACGTGCCCATCGATTTGCTCACAGCTTGTGGATGACATCCATGACCCCAGTCGGTGGTGCAGCGCTGGGGGCCGCTCTCGATCAGAACCGCACACTGAAACAGCTCTGGTTTGTCACTGGCATCGCAACCCATGCACAACCAGCTGCTTTCTGTGAACAGTGTGACCTGTCACCACCCTCTGTGCACAACCATCTCACAGGCGGGCATGCTTCTTGCTTGGCTGCCCCTGCACACCTAACACCCCGCCTGACCCACGCACACCATTCTTTCCTTCCACCCCTCCCCAAACACGTTGACTGCAATCGCTGTACAGGATTGAAGGAAACTCGACCGCCACGGCCCGTGCCTTTGGTGCCGCCCTCCCCGTCGACCGAGAGATTAGCACACCATGGTCCGTCAACGCCGACCCCATTCCCATAACTTGATTTTTCGACCACCCTTATCTGCGCACATACGTGTGTGTGTGTGTGTGTGTGTGTGTGTGTGTGTGTGTGTGTGTGTGTGTGTGCGTGCGTCTGTGCGTCTGTGTGTGTGTGTGTGTGTGTGTGTGTGGTTTGTGGCTGGGATTTGTGCCTGGTTTGGGGCTGGGGTGTGTGTATCTCACTCGTTCCCTTTCCTTCCTTCCTTACTCACTCATCCTCTCACCCCTCTCACATCTCGCTCGCCTGCTTGTATCCCGCGCTTCCCGACCTGTGGTGTTTGTGCCGCATTTCAGGTACAATGACGATGAAGGTGAAGTTGCCTTCAACGAGGCACGGAAAGAAAAGAAAGAACTACTCTCCAGCACATACGGTGGGCCAGAACAACGGCAAACCACTTTTCTTCACAGCACACAGCAATCGCGGGAACATCCACGCACCGCCCGCGAGCAGTGTGATGATGATGCTGGTACGCCTTAGCTCCTTCATCCGCCAAGGCTCAGGATAATCAGGTATGCACACGCACGTATTTGTGGCTGTGTGTTGTATTTGCAGCTGTGCAACATTGGTGCTCACGCTGTGTTTCGCCCACCCTCGATTGTGTGGCCAGCAGCAGTAGTCGTAACTCGCTGGGCCATTCTTGCAAGCTGAAACGAGAAGTGAATAAGTGTCATATGCTCGACAGCACAGCCGCCTTAAGTGTGTTCCTGTTCCCTCCATTCCGTTTGCCAGAACCTCGTTTATGCTCTTTGGTTGATTTGTTCACTGTTACCTGATGTTCTTCTTCACAACACACGCTTGTGATTGCATTTCGTTCCCCTCTTGCTGGCTCCGAAGGTGGTGCTGGTCTGCCCTTTGGTGATTTTCTGTGCTTCGTTGAGCCAGGATGGCTGTGCACGCCACTGCATTGCTCCGTGTATCACAAATTCACCACGTGGTAAACAAAACAGCAAT